GAGTGTAAAATTTGTACCACACTTCACAACAGCCCACACACTAAACAACAGTTTTACTGAAGAGTGCTTCATTCTCCCACTCCACCTATTCTCTTATTGTCACTGTCATCAAGCACAGCGGTCACTTGACAACCTGTTGAACTTCTCAGTGCAAATCACTAAAGAGCCTTGAATACAAGCTTTCATGGAAAACAATGAACAACATGTTTTCCTTTTCTTTTCATGGAGAGAGTTAAATGTAGTTGGTGGAAAAACAGACTCCTCATACCAATTTATCAATAAACAGTCCAAACACTTCTCACCTGTCCAGCCTACAACAGCTACATGCTACTTACTTTCACTGCAGCAGCCAATAAAGACATAAAACACACACATTTCCAGCAGTGGTTACCTGGCCAGCTGCTGAAGCAGACAGACCAGTAATGAGGCTCTTGCTCTCTGCAGCTCATCCAGGAGTAGCTCCTGATAGAGCAGATGGAGAACGTAGAAAAGGGCAGGAATGTGGGGGAAGAGAGGAGCTGAACTGTCCAACTTTAGCGATGGGCTGGAGGGAGACGTCTAAGGCAAAGGAAGAAGGGAAAAGATGGAAAAAGAGAAAAGAATTTAAAACAGTAATGGTACAAGGCAAAGAGCAGCATAGAGAAGAGGTAAAGCGAGAGACACTGTAACTGTACAATGCTGCAGTAAATTTGTACTGAACTGACCATGTGCATTTACACTTTGAGGAGCAGTTTCAGTCATTTATGAATTTCTGCTCACTTGCCAACTAGGTTCTACAGTCTCTGACAGTTCTGCCAACTCGACAATCAGTCTTTTTGGAAACTGTAGTGTTTGTTGCTGTTGCCTACCTTATAGACAATAAATGTAGTGAACAAAAATAGAAAATAATCAAACCCCCAACATGAAGAAGGGGAGGAGATGAACAAAACAAGGAGGAGGAGGAGGACAGCTGGATGTTAACATACACCAAGCAGGATTCATCTGAATCTTTAGAACATAAAGTAAATGGATCATACCTGCCAATCCAAATATTCAGAGCAAACAAACTAAATTAAATGATGGATCCACCCAGAGTGTGTTACATACAGAGGACAGGCCCTCAGTCTCTGTGGTGAGAGTGTTGTTATAGCCACTGGAGTTCACAGGACCGCAGACAGGCTGGAAATTCATCTGATGCTGGTAAAGAGACCCCAGCAAGTAGTCCCAGTCCTGCAGAGACGGGAGAAGAGACAAAAGCCAGCAAAAAGGTGGGTTAACTCTCTGACCAGTCACTGTTTTGGCCATGGGGCAGATAACCACAAGTAAATAAAAATAAAAAGCTATGTGTACAGCAAAACAATTTCCAAGATGTATTCATGTGACTAATCTGACTCATGCAGTTCCTCAGGTCAAACGCACTTTGAATAAATACAGAGCACAGCCTAAGCCTCCAGCGGAATGATATTTGGCATTCATGTTTTGCTCAGATGACAACATACAAATACTCAAATAACTTAACCCTTCACCTTTAATTAGGTAGGTGTGTGTGTGTATACCTCATGCCTTTGTTTAATTCACAAACACTTAACTGTGCCATGAGCTATTAGGGCTTGATAGGGCTTGATTCCTGTGCTAGTTTTACTTGACTATTTTGACACACAGTTTATGAATTAATCCTTTTTCTTGTACGCTTCAAAATTAAATGCTGTACAGTCCATTCTTCCCACAATGGTGATTGGCACTACTTTTGCCACACACATTAACAACAGATCATACTTCAGTCACACACCTCATCAGAGCCTCCATCAGAGGGACGAGCCTTTTTGGCTGCAATCACTGGAGAAAGAGGCAGTTCAAAATGCAGCTGCAGAAAGAGTTGAGAGGACAGAGAGCAAGGTCAAGACACGTAAATTGCTGATCAAAGGTAAATTAAGGTTTTGAATTTAAAGACACTTGAATAGCTGACACACATTTTTTGTCCAGTTCAGGCGCTCAGTGTTGTAACCCATTAGTGTCATGAAGCAGATGACAAACAGGTTCCATTCTGCATGGGCACTGGGGCCACCAGGGGCATTGTACATGTTATACCACTTCACCAAAACCTGCAAAATAACAAGAACAATTTTCACAAAAAAGTTTTAAAAATTAGCCAAATTAAAATGGAATGTAAACTGAGTTTTTCCATGATCCCAAAAATATTTTATTCCAGGAAAGAAACATGTTTATATCTATTTAGATTTATATCATTTTAAATAATCAATGAGAGGACATTTGTCATGGCAGGAAGAGTATCTGGCTGCACCGGAGTAAACAAGAGTAAAGAGTCACTGTGCACATCATTATGTATTCCATATGTACAGGTCAACATTGGTATGACCAATAGATAAAGCCATGCCAGCATATGTTTGTCCACAGCTGCCTACTGAAATATCAGTGCAGCCTGATGTGATTTCTTTTTACACTGTTGATCCAGATTTAACCACAAACCTTCATGGCAGCTTCCTTGGGTAGAATGAAACAAATCGCCTGAAGGCATCGCCTTACTGAAATAAATCAGAGGAGAAAACAGGAAAAAGGTGACAACGGAGAAACACAAGATGTGATTTTAAGAAATATGACCATGGGAAAGGATGTAGAGTTTTATAAGGATTGTCTGCTTTCTTTGTTATAAATACATTAACAATATGAAAAATATGTTTTAATATATACCTAACTTAAAATGTTTTGTGGTCAACAAGTGATGAATATCTGGAAATTAGATCACTGTACCTCCTCATACTTTTCTGTGTTCCTGTGAAAAACCTAGGATTATTAGCCTGTGTGCTCACATACTGGAGAATATCATCTGTACTGAAACAAAGACATCTAGTCCAAACCTCGCTAATGCTACCATACAACACTCTTAGCTACTACTAGATTCCAGTTGTGAAATGTCATTACTGGAGCTACACAGCAGCAGTATTCACTTTTGAGCTGCAGATCTCCTCAAATCTACACTTACAAAAAAGACTGCACCGGCAGTTTTGAGTTTCTTAAAAACAGAGATTATTAAAATTCTGGTCCTCCTTTAAAATCAACCATGAGCACAATTATTCATTATAGAATTAAAACTGTTCGGGCTCCCATGAGACTTTTCAAGGACCAAGTCCACTTTATATGTTAAAGAGCAGAAATCTGTGCAGGTGAATGTCGGGACAAGCAGAAAACAATTTTAAAACATTTCTAACAAATGCGTGAATCCTAAACCACAATTTTGCAAAAGAAGAGCATTGTGGGTTTTTTTTTTTTTTTTAGATCAGCTTTAGATGAATAGAGCTTGACACATCAAACTCATTTTAACAGAACTGTCTCCACTGATGATCCCTGGTTTTTGGCCTCTTCTTAATATCACACAGTGAAAAACGGAAATTAAAAAAGACCCACCACCATAGCAGAAATTAGTGTTAACTGTGCCTGCTGACAGCTCCAACCAGATTCCTAATCAACATCTTAATTGGACATCCAGAGTGGGAAAGGTCAGTAAAGGGGTGGATAAATACCATTTCATTAGAGGAAGAAAGCCTCATCTGTAGGGTCGATTACTAAATAATGGGGAGCAACACATGGCAAAGACACAACGGCAAGGCACACGCAAGGCAGACAGAGTCATACACACAAACCTTAGTGATGCTGAAGAGTGACTGTAATGTTCACTCAGAACAGAGATGGTATCAGCTGTTTCCTCAGTAACAACAAAAGGTAGAAACTCACATTTGTTTCCGATTGTTCATAATTGCCTTACAAAAAAAAAATCCCATAAATTAATTGTACTGGATGTTAACATAAATTTTAGTGAAGTCACTACAGTGTTTTGTGGACCAACTCAAATATCAAGCTTGTGAACCTGAGTACAAATAATGTGGTACTGTACATCTCTGAGGACACAGTAATAGTGGATGGAAATCTTTATGCTCTACTTGTGCACCCTGGCACAGTGGGTTGTCTGTTTAAAGAAGAGGTATGAATTTTATTGAGGAGAAAAGACAGGTTGAGCGTTTTGCACTAATTGCCTGAGGTTCCCCTGCAATATTTTTAAATGTGAGTACATGTAGATGTTTTGACTCACTTAAGTACTGGGGGAATAAGCATTTAAATGTCTTAAAGGGTTAAACTTCACTGGGTAAAACAAAAAGCTGTAAAAGGAGATACATTAAGTGAATGGAATTTTTAAAAAGCCATGAAAACATGTGCATCTAATTTTTCTCTGTCATGGCAACAAATGGAAACTTCACTGATGTTATGGCTTAATCATTATCACTGGGATGCGTGTGTCTGTGTGTGTTTTATAATAGCATCCACAATATATCAAGTTTGTACGTCACCGTGTAACAACATAGGGCAGTTCTCAAACCTAATTTCAGGACCTAACTGCTCTGACTCAGCCATCTGTGTGTGTTTGTGTGTGGTCTCGCTTAAAAAATACACATTTATCAACAGAAAGAATTACTGACCAATAGCAGTGGTGGCTGCAATACCTATTGCAAAATGTACATGTGTAGAACATTCAATTGGTTTTCTGCATTAATCTTACGTGTGTGTGTGTGTGTGTGTGTGTGTGTGTGTGTGTGTACAGGTTGTTCCATGATTGTGTGGAGAGATTTTAGTCTGAAACCATTGTTGTGACTTCTCATAACCTCAAAGAAGTGTTTGAGGGTTAAGGCTTTGTTTTAGTGTTAAAGTTAGAATCAGTTTTAGGAAAAGAGCTAGGGTTAGACATTTAGCTGTGATTGTTAAAGTGAGAGTTGGGGGCTAGAGAATGCATTATGTCCTCACAATGAAAGAAATGCCAAATTGTGTGTGTGTGTGTGTGTGTGTGTGTGTGTGTGTGTGCCTCACCCAGCTCAGAGGTAGCAATCTCTGGGACAGATATCCGCAGCATTGTGCCATTGCTAAGCTCCTAGAAGGACAAAAAGATTGTTCACAAATTTAATTTATACACTTTCAATTCAATTCTACATATATCAGTGAAGAACAAGTGGATCAGCTCTGTTTGTTACAACAGGCAGAGCTGAGTGTTGTGGCAGCGCTATGACAAACTAGAAGTGATGCAACCAGTGCATGTCATAGTGGGTGTTTTCTTCTGAATGGGCTATCACCAGAAGTGGAACACACCTGAATGTTTCAACCCATATGGACACATTTTGGCCATGGCGCGATGAGTATAACCTGTTGTTTTGGAAGCAATGCCTACTGTTTACACAGACAGGGCACAAATTAAAGGAAAAACCTGAATAAATAAATGAGTGGTCTCTTCCAGAATGACAATCCCCCCCCTCCACAGGGGTCACTGAATGGTTTGATAAGTATGAAAATGATGTGAATCACATTCTATGGCCTTCACAGTCATCAGATCGCAACCCAGTTGAACATCTATGGGAGATTTTGGAGCGACGTGTTAGACAGCATCTCCACCACCATCATTATTAAAACACCAAGAAGGAATATGTTTTGTTCATCCACGAAGCAGAATTTATCTTTTCAAAATCCAGTTTTTGTTCAACTACAGATAAGACCAACTTTTAATTCTCAAGAAATAAAAAAAAGGAAAAACACTAACTTGATCTGGCCTCAACAGCATCGCAATAGATGACTGATCTGAGTTAATTTAATGCTGACACATTTGCCATTTCACCGTATCAAGCATTTCTACAAGTCAAAGTATTGGTGTTAGAAATCATTTGTTGACATTCGTGAAAACATTCACACACATAAACTAACCTACCAGAGTGACCCGGTTGCAGACAGGGTCCCGCATGGCACAGGTGTAGGGCGTGGCTTGATGGAAGGTGTAATCCTCCAAGAATGAAGCTTCATGGTGTTTAATGTTTGGACCCATCTGCTCTAAAACAGGTGAAGGCATCACAGCCTGGAAAAGAGGGAAGGAAATGAGAAGGTCAGGCAAAACTATAGAGACAAAGAGAAAACAAAAGAAAATAAAGTGAGTAGCCAACACAAGGCAAGCTGCAACGTTTCCTGTAATGTAATCCATGTTTGCTTTGACAGATCATCTTGATCTGCAAAAACTGTCTCCGACAATAAAAGACTGAATGGCAGCAAGGAGGTAAACTGATTTCTATGACTAAACTGTGTGCAGTTGACACATAGATGAATGCATAGAAACAAAAGGAAAGATAACATTTTAAAAATGCATTATTGCAGATATAAATAAAACTATATCAAATTATTGAAATTATCAGTGCATGAAGAACAATATGTTTACAACACATGGCAAGACCTCTTCCAGTCTTTGGATATGCCTACTGCCAGCTTTAGCTGGTGTGCTAACAGTCTCCACTGGTGCGCCGAAGTGAGGGATGTGGTTGGTTAGGCTGAGGGTGGACAACAGGAGGCCGGGGACAAACACTTTACTGACCTGCAGGGACACCAAGAAAGCAACCTCATGACACCTCCCAGTAATAACACTTCAATAACATTGAAATATCTATTGTTTTAGAAACTGTAAAGTGCCGTGCATCGAACTGCTGTAGTGGACATACTACGCCTTGGTGGTTTGAGTTCGTCCTTACCCTCATGATTCCTGTATAGAGAACCAGACTGCCACAGGCCTCCAGAACCAGCATGGCATCTATATTCTGAGGACCAAAGTTTTTCTGTCAGAAACATGTTAGGTTGCAAGGCAGCAAATAATTATTTCCATTATCATTTAATCCAGTTAAAATTGTCTCAATTAACTGATCAATTGGCTTATAAAAGTTTAGAAAATTGTTTAAAAAAACAGCATTTATAAAGCACAAGTATATTTAAATAGTTTAAATTATTAGTCAAATAATCGAGTCATTAGTCCAGAAAGCTGTCAGTCGACTGAGACTCTTCTAGTCAAGCCTTTGCTTTTTATTTTTTATCAGCCAGTGTGCATTACAATAGAAGGCAGCTGCAGCTCCCATTAGTATGTCGTCTTCTTCTCCTCATTTTGGTGTGCCAAGCAGTAAATGGCTCACTGCCTCCCCCTGTGGTTGGGTGGGGGAATTCCCACTTCAATGGCGACATTGTCCAGTACGTGGATTTACATTAAGATCAGATCTATTTAGCAAATTGCAAAATGAGGAGAAAAGGACAACAAAACCCACTAGAATAAACCACATAAATGTGAGATTTGTACTTTATTAGAAGTGTTTTTAAATATTGTGGTCTACTTTTACAAAAGAAAAGACTGTCACGATGACGTGGCTGGTTTTGCATTACCGTTGCTAATCTTTGCCTTCTCCCTTTAAAGCTTATAAAGCCTCATTAATGTATGTTACCTGCAGAGGTTCTGCATCTTTGGCAGGGATGGCTGTGACAGAGGCAAAGATGAGCTGAGAGGAATCATTGCTCACAATAAACTTCACACATCTGCAGAAAGAAAAAGGTGGTAACTTGTACAGATGTCATTGCAAAATCAGGCAGAGAAAGTGATGAAAAGAAAGAAAACATAGGAATTTCCTTTCAAATTCTTTTAGTAGTTTGTCCAGTGTTCTATATACATGAGTGACTGCTTAGTAGCTGTTATATTGCTGTGTTGGACCTTACATTTAGATGATCTGAGACTTTTCATGGTCCCCTAAAACCTAATATATAAATCATGATGGCGTCTGTATCAAATATTCACTATGTATAGCTATATTGTGAATGTGTGCTCACCTGAGCTGCTGATGAGACTCCACCAGGAAACACAGGTAGTGGTTCTCACAAAAGTCAGATGTGAGGAATACTTTAGATGCTTGGCTGTTCATCTCTCTGAAAACACAAAAGGTGAAGAATCAAGTGAAACAATGGCAGTTACAAAAAAAAAAAAACAAAAAAACGAGTAAAAGAAACAATAAAAATATACATCTTAAAAAACAGACCAATTTCAGAAATGTTTTAAGAGTAATCTCATTTTTACCATCCCTGTGAGGAGCCCCAGGCTTAGACCTGATTTAGAAACTAACTTTGGAGCAACTTCTGACCTAAAAATTGTCAAGAAAGGTTAGTAATTATTCTTTCAGATTCTCTTTTCGATGCCACATCAACAAATCATGGCATTTTCTTAGTAAATGGCCAGTTTAGGTTAGTCATGGTGTCAACTTCCTCATGATGTGAAATTACATTTAAAATGCTAAATATTTACATTCTTCCTCAAAGATCTAATACACTTCTGGATTTCTGAAAGTAGTACCGAGCTTCCCATAAAAGGCCATCAATTAGAAGACTCAAGGTTGAAATCACATTAAGATAAAACTATCATTAATTTACTCCCAGTAATTGTTTGTCACTGACATGAGTCATGGGCCTCCCTTTGCAGCTGTTTTTAGTAGTGTTCATTCCTGGCATTCACCTGTGACACCCAGCAGCAGTCGTCTCACTCCACAACTGCTCCATGCAGAGGTCGGGTATGATGGGCTCCATCTCTGGCATCAGCATCGTCTCATTGACCGTGCTGTTTGGAGAGTGTAACAAGCCATGGTGCCCCTTGGGGGATGGGCTATGCAAAGACGTGTTGAAACGAGCCATGCCTGTAAAGGACGGTGCCGCCATACCTGGAGAATGGGCGCGACTGGGATAGGAGAATGGAAGAAGAAAAAATAGTGCAGAGTTGTTTTTGACCACTAATTGTATTGAAGATCAATGTTTAAATGAGCAGACTGTTTTTCTGTATCCCGTACTCCATCACTAGCACATGCACAAAGATGCACAGGCAGATGCAATTCTGCAAACTGCAGAAAGAAATGAAGCCAATGTGAGCAGTCAGCAATAAACCACACACACCAGTCTTCAATTGATAGTCAAACTCACCTGAGGGCAGCCATATTGGATATACTTGGAGAGTGCGCACGGGAGTGTAATCCTGGTGAAGATGTCATGATCCTGCTCTGGTGGCTGTGCAGAGCGCTGTAGTGGAGAGGAGAGCAAGTACCAACAGGAAAACTAGAAGGAAAAAAAACAAGGACAAAGTCAGACATCAGCAAGGCACCAGGAAGGCTTTCCAGGTTTGACTTTATGCAAAATAAAAATTATTCATCCGTTTTCTTCTCTTTTCTGTATTTGGCTGTTGATTTTGTCAATCTCACAATGTTTCTCTCTATTTTTACTAATTTTTCAACTGTCAGTCCTGTGACAGGATTGACTGACATCCATGATTTTGTTTTTGCTTAATCCCCATGTATGCATTTTATTGAACTGTTAATAATGCCGATGTCAGGTTTCTTGTTTCATTCAACCAAAAGTCTAAAACTTAAAGGTAAGTTTACTATCATATACAATACAGAAAGTAGTAAATCCTCAAATTTGAGAAGATGGAGCTAGAGAATGTTTTGCATCAGTTGCCAAATAGTTTTCTGTTAATCAACTAATTTTAACACTTGGACCTCATTTTCATTACCCTGTTCCAGTTCCAGGATAGAGTCCAGCTGCCCCACTACCACTGGGGGAGTCCAGGCGGGAGGCATTACGGAGTTGAGTCATCAAACCCAACGGGGTACTAACCGGCTCTGCTGGACACCGCAGGACTGTAGAACACTCCTGATGGAGGTACAAGGCTCAAGGTCAGGGACAGGTAGAATTGTATATATGTGTGTTTGTGTGCATATATGATCTCACCTTATGTGTGACTTTGCGCAGGGCCCAAACAGAATGTATTCCCTGTACAGTGTCATAGGAGACAACTATAGAGGGCTGGCAGCAGCTGAACACTATCTTCATGGTGGAGTCGGACACATACTGTACACGAGAGCCTTCAAACAGGCCTGAAAAATACACACAGATACAAACATGTCAAAACATGGAGATTACTCAGACTGAGAAACCAGAAAGACAGAGAGAGGGATAGTGTGTTTATCATACCTGCAGGTTTACACACTACTGGTGCAATCTCATCTAGTGGATGCAGCATGCTGAATACTGTGGGCAAAGGTTCCCTGTAGAGAAAAAGCTCAGGACCTCAGTAACTAGCATGAGTATGTGGCTAGGAGGATGTCTTGAATGTAGACATTTTTTCAGGTTTTGAGCTTTGATGTGTGTGTGGCTGTTGTCACTTCACATGAATGTTTGGATTTAACTGTGTACCATGCAGCTGACCCTTGAGTGAGCTTGTGCGTGGACAAGCATGTGATTGTGCAGTGTTAATGTGTACCCGGGGGAGCTGAGCTGTGCGTCAGTTGCTGCATTTTTTCGTTCCAACAACAGTCCAAACTTGGTAGCCCAGACTTTGGACACCTGTATTAGACATTGGGCAACAAACAGGAAAGGGACTTATATGGTTATATGATTATACTATGTAAGAATGGCAGCAACAAAAATATTCACCCTGAGCATTTCTGTGATAGTAAACTTTACTGAATTGTGGAACGTTAGCCAGAAAAAAAAGCATTGTGAAGTCATCATTTTGGTCTGAGGGAAACTGATAGAGATTTTACACAATTTATTGAAATTTGACAGCTTAAACAATCATATTACAGTTCAGTGGATACACAAAAACAAGCAGGTACTGTATGTCTCAAAAACACACAAACAAACACAAATATTTGATACAAATGGGGTTCAGTCCCATTGTCAGTGATCCAAATTTCCCATTATTTTTGGTTAGCCAGACAACGGGTCTGCCCTGGGGACTCTCTCTAATCTGCCTAACGCTTGTATACACACACACACACACATAGAAAGACAATCTCCACCATGTTTGCCAAAGTTGGTGGTCTGTGGTGAATTACACCAACAGAAACCAAAGTGCCAAAAGAGAATAAAGAAAAAAGGATTCATGAATCTGAGTTTCTCTGCAAGTCTTAACTTCTCTGGAATGCAAGATTTCCTACCAGTGTCTCTCCCTCTCACCTGGAAGGGCAGCGGTGAGATGAAATCCTTCCCAGTCACAGTGTGAACATTGACACAGCTACTCTGGATGATACATACTGTCTTCTCTACTTCTTCCTCTGCAAAATTAGAGTATTTTCTTCATGAAATTAAAAAAAAAACTACAGCATATATTAAAAATAACTTGAAACAAGAATCATTTCTGCAGTTTTTAAATAATACTGTACCCTCTTTCTTGTTCTGAGGAACAGCAAAGTTGCACCATAAAGCCTGTATACAGAATAAAAACAGTGTCAACTACCTGTAATGTTTTACTCAAAATGAAAAGATATACATCCTGACAATCAGCATATGCCCTGTAACTGACCTGCTGCACTGGGCTGTCAACAGTGAAGGCCTTGTATACACTGGAGGTTGAGGTTTGACTGCCCTGGCTCCAGACGACAACATTTCCTGCTGTATAGAGCTCCTCTTCAAACTCCACATCCTCCTCCCTGACTCCAACACAGCCCTGCCAGTGACAACACATCCATTAGTTCAACACAACAAAAACTGATTCAAAAATACAAACTGTGCCATGTTACACCTAGTAATACTACAGTATCTATTGATTGCAGTCATTAAATCATCTACATTACTTTTACAAACAGAAAAAGATATCCAATGGCATGCAAGAAACGTTATCTTCAGGCAATAACAATGCCTATATTCATTTTTCCTGACTTTCTTTTCTTGTACTTCCACTTTTTCTACTTATGTACTACTGCTGCTGCTTTTATCTTCTCCAGTGTTTTACTAACAGAGGAATATGTATGGAATTCCATGCACTCTCACCCCCTCTCTCTCCTGCAGACTGACTTCCTGCAGGGAACCCACCAGGCCGGCAGCACCATCTGATGACCAGAGCTCGGAGGCAGGCTGGAGCTCTCTGAGCTGCAGGTTGAAAGCGTTTGGATGGTTTCTGCAGTGCTCGCGGCCAAACGGGACAAAAGACTGCAATTCCCCTGCGGCAATCATCGTGGCTGTCTCTTCATACACGACTTCCGACATGAGTCCCAGATATCAGCATTATTTCTAGAAAAAAAAATGATGAGGAAGATGGTAAATGTTATGTAACGCTAAATAATCACGCTGACAGCTGTCATTGGCAGTACTCTTCGGTATTAGCATGCTAACGCAGCTAAAGACCCTTAGTACCGTTTGCTTTCACTGGCTCGATTAGCACGTTTGCTAATGTTAGCTTCAACTAGCGTTGTTTGCAGGGAAACATTTGGCCTCTAACCTGCTAATAAGGAATAGTCTGGCTCTTGTCGCGGAGTCCTTGTCTTTCCTTTGTATTAGACTCGCTTGAGCACAATGTTGACACCTCTGCCAAATTAAACACGAGTCATAATGTGGGTTTTGCTACAGGTTTTCAAATGACCGGACATCTTTGTTTCCCGACATCCTCTTCCTCCACGACTCAGCCAATCAGCAGTGAGAAGAATTGGAGGACGAAGCTGATAGGCTGCCTTCATCGTGGCTGATTCATCCATAGGCTCCAAACTAAATCCTTTTGCTTCTGGCATCTCCTAACCTCAGTCTCATTCCCTCACACCTCGCCAGGGTGCGAGGAAAGGGTTGGATTAGAAGAGATAGACTAGGAAGGCGATGACCATTTAGAGCATTTTCTCGAAATCATCATCTGCTTATGATAACGTGTTGAAGAATACCACATGACACCACATAGGCTTATGTACCCACACGATGTAACTGTCATATGTTAACTGCACTGCTTTTTTCCCAAATGATGTTTTACAGTGACTAAGTCTTATCAAACAACATCAAAAAACATGTTTTCACGTTGTCTATTTTCGTTATTGTGGACTGGCAAAAATGGCAATTTAATCATTTTAAAATTATATGCCTACAACATAATGCAATGTGCAAAAAGTAAAGACTGAATACTATATAAACCCACTATATTATATAAACTATATTATTTGTATTGATGAATAGCCTAAATAACTAAAACCATTATTTTTATCAACACATGTTATTTATGGATAAAAAGATGTCATGGAAAGATTTCGCAAATTTTAGTGCTGCAACATAATAGTTGTCAAGTTTGTTACACCACACATAAAAGGCAGATAAAATCATAATTTAGAAAAATCTAAAAGGAAAGAACACTTCTGCGAAAAACTGACTGGCCTAGCTTCACAAAGTCTCTGCAGCTTCTGACTCAGGATTCATGGGATTTCACACTTTAATTGTAGCTATTATGTTTTCACTATGTCCTTTATATTGTCCAAAGAGAGTGTAGTACATATATAAATGTGCAAAAAGCGTCTTATATAACTGTTACAAGAAGTCCTGAAACTTATCATCGTTACTATCTGTCCAGTTTTCTGCCTATGAAAAACAACATACAGTAGAAATAACACAATAATCACGCTGTAACAAGCTGGTCAGACTTGTCCTCACTGCCCTAAGTGACTGCTTGCAAAACAGTGAGCTCAATTAAATTACACTGAGTTATTTTAATAAGATAAAATGATGAACTGAA